ATTTATTTATTTATCTTAATCACATACTTAGTGTTCATTTGTTTTAAAAAGTGGACCATGAAATACATAGGTCCTTTATGATTTTTCACAACATTGGCACTTGTTAAGAGTCTGGCTCTACAAAGAAAGGGGATTGGCACACTCATTATTGTACATAATTTACATTTGGTATACTTAAGAAAAAAATACATTACTTTCAATTTATACACCACTACACAAAGTTTATTTAACCTGTTATTTAAAAATCTATCATTAAGTGGTCCTAAATACAAGAGTTCAGGTAATGCATCAGCCTTACAAAAGAAACAAAAAAGATGCAAAGATAGCTTTTAGCATTTCTATGCATCCATCACATCAGTATGAATCTCAAGCAAAAGCATTAACCATCAAAAGTGTACACACATCTCATAGTACCAACAAAACGTGCTTGAATGAACATGTAATTTGCATGAATGCAGTAAGTCCCATTGCTGTAGCGCAGGTTCAGTGCATTGACCCGGGAGAAAGAAAGGATTATAGATCAAGTAAGAGGAGACAACAGCTGATATTCTAAAAAACACCATATTTCATTCACCGATGAATCCAACTGCTATAGTATATTGCCCCTTCGGTACCTTCACTTGGCAAAGCATTACAATAAATATAGCTGAAGTTTAACAGGCTTATTTCAAAATGAACTGTATGGAAGAGTGGTGGCAACTGTTTGTATATACTGTAATGCTATTCAGTTTATGGCATGGACTTGCCTCTAGTAGTGTATCCCTTCCACAATCCCCACTGTGCTGGTTTTAGTGATGACAGTACTTCTTACGTGTTCTCTTACTAGTTATTGTGATGTTCAATTAGTGTGCTATACAGGGTACACATAACTACATACACACTGTCCATAGTCCACGTGGAGAAAACCAATGTCCTTGTTGTAAACCGACACTGACTGTATACCCAGAAAACCCATGGTAGCATTCTCATATATCTGCCAACAGCAGGGAGGGAGGCCTGCGCCAGACAGTTGTACAGTGTTTTTTGGAGCTAAGCAACATCATACACCTCAAAACCACCGGACCACAAGCTGATGCAGATACCTACAGTAAACAGAGCAAAATGTGTACAATGTAACATAATTAATGCACAACCACCGGGGGGTTACAAGCATGAAGCGAGTCCAGCATGAGTGTCGTGTGTAGAACTAAACCCTACTCTACCTAAGCAAGTAAACCACAGGTCAAAGGGGATGGAGTGTGCTTCTTCAGGTAACAGAGCAGCAGAGCAGCAGTAACCACTCTAAAACAATTCCAAAAACAAGCCGCCTTGTTGGTGGAGATCTGAAGTACCACTGGCAACATCATCTCAGTCTAGCCTGCCCTGGCAAGAGACCTTCGTACTCCTGAGAGAACTGACAACTTTCCCACAAGCTCAACAAGTTCAACCAAAACCATCCGTTCTGGCATATGCAATCACGACAAAAAGTCTGTTCAAATTTCTAATTTAGTTGAAAGCTTCATCTGCAGTTGCACAGGAAGCATTCATATTTCTGCTTCTTATGTACAGTTCACAAAGATTGTGCTACATAAAGTATTGGGTGTGGGAGCATTAATTAACAAAAGGCCTTCAAATGCAAGTTGTGCAACACCAAACATGGAATCCCTGACAACTCGCAAACTGCCTTCATGATAAGGCCACATCCACCGTGGCTAGGCCAAATGACAAGGCATTACAATATGTCCAACGTGTCAACATTTTTTAAACGCTGTGGCACTTAGTTTTATTAAGTCCCCAAAAATGTAATACTTTCCACCTTCAGTGAATGCAACATTTATAGATATTTCCATGAATTGCACAAACCATTCAACAACTCTGGTGTTTATGAGACAATGTAGAGGAAAGGTAAAAGTTGGACCTTTCAGCCAGGCTAGTATACAGTGGACATTAGTAAAGGGGACTGAAGAGTATACCCAAGCCAACATTATGGGCAAAACATTCTTAGGTTGCAATTCAATGTACTTGTAAACACACAGCAAGATCTTAAACAGAGCACAGACTTTGCAGGATAAGCGCTTGCCATGTACAGTAGAATGTGTAAAATACTTGGGCACCCTGCATCCAATTTGGCCATTATTTTTGGCACCAAAAATACAAGATATTAAAAACAAGTCTGTCATCATGATATATCTCTAAAGTGTTTGTTAAGTTTCACCTAACTACTCTAACCCTACGCTCTTTGGAGTGCAAATAGCACTGTGGCAATCAAATGTCTTCCAGTCATGGTCTTTCTTAGTATACAAATGTCAAGCACAGAAACATGACTAGTAGTGCACATAAAACACAAACCATCCACAACGGACTAAAGCCAAGCTGAAGACATGAATGGCAGGTGGGAATGGAAGAGCACACTAAAGATTGGCTGAGGCAGGCAGCTATGCGATCCCCTTGTGGTTTTACTAGGCTCTGCTCGGGCCCAAACGGGCTGGTCAAAGTTTACAGGCAAATAGCCAGCAGAATTAATCCTCCAATGATAACCAACTGGCATCCCTGGACAGTTTGCACTCAACCTGTGGCAATGGCTTTCCACCTGGCGTTAACACATCCCAACACTGGCTCCCTGATTCATAACACCCACTTTAAATTGCACCTATTGCTCTATATCACCCATAGAGTCCTTTAATTCTGTCAACTTTGCTAGTAGTAGCCCTTGTAATGAAAAGTTATGAAAACTCACCTGAATTACGTTGCGAAGACAAAATAGCAATCTATCGACATAGTTAGCTATAGAATCTTAAGAACTATCAAGCAAGAGACAAGATATGGGATTAAAAACCAGTACCAAACTAAAATCTTAAATTACAAAAATGCAAGCATAGACCAGTTAAAAATTCAACCACTGATAAGTTTCTTTTTTTTCTTTTTGCATAATGCGCCAACCCTAAATGGAAATGTTCTTCCCATTCTCAAGCATTTCAATATTGAAACAGAACATAATTGCAACAACCAAGTATGAAGTCTCTAAAGAAAGGTAGATCACTTGCCGATACGTTTTTTTTTTTACAGCAGTATGGACCCTGTCTCTCCCAGTCTCCCATCTGATGGAGACACTTCTGGATGGAAGCAGGGAGAAAGAGTCAGACTAATAACAACATCTAGAGCTCTGGTCCATAAATTAGACAAATAAAAAAAAGACTATTCACTCTTATTAATCACTACCATTTCTCAAAATATTGGCCAAATAGGGAAAAAATATCCAATACCTTTAACAAAGAAAAGCTGTACTGACATTGAGTGTGGAGGACCAACTTGTGACTTAAGTTAGCTGACAGCACTAAACATTTCTTTATTACAACAAACTATTGCTCCTTACATCCACACAAGTACAGCAAGTTGTTTACCCTCATCGGAAAATAACCAAAATGTAAAAAAATAAACAGAATCACAGTATCAAACAATTGTAATTAATTAGGCAATTGTCCAAAATAAATTGTATAGTATGGCAAATATAAATTTGTTTTGCCTAAATTAGTGTACCAAACTTTTCAACGCAACTATGAGAAGACACACATGTAAATATACACATTTAGTTTCAGTCATCTCCATCACCAACAAGTTGGTTTTGTTCATTGTATCTGAACAGTTTGGGGGATGCAACTGATACTGGCAACTTGATTGTATCTATAGCAAACAAAACATAATACATTTGGCAAATGGTACAGCATTTTAATGAGTACAAATCATGATAAATTAAATATAAGTAGTGCTGCAGTTTATTCATATTGTCGTTTTAGTTTCATATTTAGAATGTTACAAGATGCTGCCAATTCAACAAGTGGTTCTGTGAAAAATGTAAATTATGTTTTGTCTAAAGGACGGAAGGGGGGGGGGGGGGGGGGGGGTATGGAGGAAACTTTAACAGTCTCCAATCATGTAGGTTACATCCTTTTTTGGATAATTGTGATTTTCCTCTCTTGGAAATGAGAAACCCTGCGGTCTTGTTCATATTTAATTAACATCTTCATCGGGAAAGCGGTATTAGCAACAGTAATAGTCAATAAACTCATCTAAAATATTTATTAATATACACAGATCAATTTACTTCATCTCTCCCACCCTTGCTCTGTCTATGTGTGAGCATCCACTTGATTGTAACACACACACTTTTTACATTCAACAGTGCAAGGTGACTTCAAGCCTAGGGTGAGGTTTGGAAAAAACACACACCTCAAAGACCATGTAGAGTAGAGCTTCCCCCCACACCTCAGCACCACCCTCACCTGCTCCAATGATATTCTATGCAGTTACCCACAACCCCCTGCAGACTAGTGGGTTCCCAGCCCCCACCCCTATCCTGCAGACAGACCCTGCAGAGGGTGAAGGGGGGACACTGACTTTTTCCTGTTTTCCTACACCTCAGCTCATCTCTCCTTCCTTTAAAATCACACTAGCACCCAAGCCACCAAATCAAACAGACCTCTCTACATACCCACCCCCTCCCTCCCCCTGCTCCTTTAACAGGGGTGACCCAGAGACACAAGCCACACCAGGCTGTAAACCACCAAGGCGAGTCAGAGCAGCCTCCGAGCAGATGTGTGTGTGTGTGTGTGCGCGACATAAGGAGGGACGCAGGCTACAGTGGGCAGGGAAGAGAGGAGTGGGGGGGAATGACTGGAGCTGGAAAAACACACCCAATTAAACCATAGACAAGGAGCAGGAGGATGTTGGGGCCAGGGGTGGCTAGAGACTGGGATCTATTACGCGTGTGTGATCGAGTGTGTGTGTGTGTGTGTGTGTGTGTGTGTGTGTGTGTGTGTGTGTGTACATGCATGTACATGCATGTTGGTGAATGTGTCTGAGTGTGTGTGTCTTAGTGCAGGTGTGTGTGTGTGTGTGTGTAGATGTGTGTGTTAGTGTGTGTGTGTATGTGTGTACTGTTTAATTTGTTGGTGTGTGTGTATAGATGTGTACTCTGTGCTGTGCGCGGGCTGCCGGTTTCTCTCAATTTCTCTCGCTCTCGCTCACACCAGGTTGTACTCTTTGAGGTTGAGCTGCAGGATGGTGTCTTTGACGGCAGCGAACACAAAGCGGATGTTCTCTGTGTCCGTGGCACAGGTGAAGTGGGAGTAGATGATCTTGTCGCTGTCGGGGTTCAGGTCCACAAACATCTTTAGGATAAACTCCCGGCCCGCCTGAGCGTCTCTCTGGGGACCTGGGGGTACACACACACACACACACACACACATTATCCCAAAGCTACAGGCAACGGTACACATCACTGTGTACCTGTGAACTGGCGAACACACACATGACATTTCAAATTGAAAGGAAGACACGTTACATGATCTCAAAAGGTAAGTGATTTAAATCCTGACTATTTATCGAATGTAGAGCATGTTCTACCTATTTGGCTAATGGATTATGTGAATTTGTATTGCATTTTAGTTCATTGTCTAGCCACATGGTGTCACTAAATACTAACAAAAATACATTCAGGTCTGTTCATGCCGCCTATAGAGTTTGAAATCTTTGAAATGAATAATGTTACAATAATTTTAAAAAATACTATCATATGCATTCTATTTGATAATTTGCCTCAGTAACTGCCATGGTACTGGACATGGCCACATTGGCCAGTGTAGAGAGGTGGTAGTGTAGGATGAAGGTAAAGAGTAGTTTACCATCAAACTCAGGGAAGTAGTCGACCAGGTGGGAGTACGTGATCTTCTCCTCCAAGAGGTCCTTCTTGTTGAGGAACAGGATGACGGAGGAGTTCTGGAACCAGGGATATGTGATGATGGTCCGGAACAGAGCCTTGCTCTCCTCCATCCGATTCTGACAGACAGACAGACAGACACACACAGAGACAGAGACAGAGAGAGAGAGACAGAGAGAGAGACAGAGAGGAGAGAGAGAGAGGAGAGAAGAGAGAGAGGAGAAGAAGGAGACAGAGAGAGAGAGAGAGAGAGACGAGGAGAGAGAGAGAGAGAGAGAGAGAGGAGAGAGAGAGAGGAGAGGAGAGAGAGAGAGAGAGAGAGGAGGAGAGAGAGAGAGGAGAGAGAGAGAGAGGAGAGAGAGAGATGGTCAGAACATGCTTAACCCTCAAGCACTCTGCACACTTTACACGGTTTACGTAAACAGAGCACAACACAGTACGTGAATGTTGTGCAGCTCCTTGTAGTATGTAGGCCAACGCCACTTTCGACAGAATTTTGTTCCACTCAAATTTTGTAACGGGACGGAGAATTCCTTGTGTTGCAGTGTTGTCTAAGTAATGAAGCTGTATTTTACCACCAAACTCGTTTGGTTCCTTAATTTTATCTATATAGGCTATGCACAAAGTAGCCTATTTTGCATAGATAACCAACGATAATCTCAGCGACTGTTCAAACAATAAACCAAATAACTTTGTAGCCTTAGAGTCCCACCAAAAGGTATTTTGTTTAGAAGTAATATCTACGTGATTCCAGGCTATTTTGAAACGGTAAAAACAGCTGCTAGCAATGTGCTTTTTCTCCGTGAGCAAACATGACATTCTATTTTTGCTGATATGGGAGCGAATACATTCAAGCAGTATATCAAACTGGGATAATTTTGTAGGTTGCACTGGCAAGTATAAGAATATTTGCCAGGGCATATTATTTCATTATAAATCTGATTATTTCACATGGGGGAGATGTGAGAAGCTAAAATGCTAGCTTGCAGTTCTTAGTAAGCTGCTAGCAGAGTAGACTACAGCCAAATGGCAGGCACAAAAGGGTAATGAGGTAAAAGAGGTAATGTAAAACAAACCTAAACTTTTATTACATGTAGCTATTATTCAAATATGCAACTGGTTATCTCGCTTTGAAATTAGCCAACAGTGGTGATGTTTTCAGCATGATTCTTATTTGATTGTTTGGTTTGAATGAAAAACAAACATATGTTTTCATATTCTATGTCATGCAAAAACATTTGAAAATATGCTAATTAGTGTTAACATTTTGTTCTGTCCAATTCTCTAAAATCAACCAATTTATTGCTTTCAATTTCATCTATTGGGCCAAAAACATTTGACACCAAATGTTATTTTTTCTATGAAGAAACAACCTCTTCTCTGACAGAGCAAAATTATTTAAGCCTGGCCTAAAATGTTTTTCATTGTGAAAATGTGCAACACAACTGCCCAGTACAACACTATTTCAGTATCCAGAACCTGTATATGGATGCATTTTTTTGTCATTTATGAGCTCATATTAATCAGAGATGGTGCTTGATTTAATGGCAGTTCTAAAAAAAATAGTGCATCTTTCACCACATTCATGTGTATCTAGCCTGAAAAAAAAATACAATTCTGGTTAGAAAACATATGGCCAATTGCCACTGCATACCACTTAATTCAGTGTAATTTTAAATGCCTAACTGCACTTGATAAAAACATAATGATATTGTCTAGTGAAAATCATACAGCTTTCAAAATCTCATTGTACCCTAAAGACCAATTTACAAAGACTCCCATGGCATTTATAGGAAATAAAGGTGGGGTAGTGATGTGAGATGTATTACTCCCATCCCCCAAATAAATTCACAAAATGTTTGGGACCATTACATAATCCCATTCTCCATGCAGAGGAACCCATCCTGTCTGTGTGTAAGGAGGGCCTGCTCTGCTGCTCCTGTGACATTATGTTTACTGTCAGATCAGGTAGATCCAGTAGCGAGAGCAGAGCAGGAGGATGTGGATGTCTCTACCCTCCCAAATACTCTGCTCCGCCTGGCAACGTGGTCCACTGCTGTATGAAACGCTCTCTGTCATATGACCCATCAGACAGTTTGTTGTTCCAAACCAGCTCCCTCCGATGACTAAACAGCCTGATCATATTATCCTCATTTCATCTGGCGCTACAGTCAAAGGGACACCAACAAAATGGAAAACAAAACAAAATGCAGACTCAAACAAGCAGGATATGAGGTCATAATCAATATCAAGAAGCCACTACCTACCGAATGATTGTAAATAAGAGACTAATGATAGTATGCCTGGTGTGTGTGTGTTCAATCTCACCTCGTTGTCAGACTCCACCAGGACCTGGTCGTACTCGCTGAGGGCCACCAAGAACATGATGGACGTGACGTTCTCAAAGCAGTGGATCCACTTCCTCCTCTCTGACCTCTGACCCCCTACATCCACCATCCTGATTGGACAGGACCAGGATGGAGAGATGAAGGGAGGAGAGAAGTTTTCAAAATTAGGCTCAATTCACACATTGAAGCCAAGTTGAAAGGGTTTTTATTGTGGTAACTAGGGTATCCAATTAAATAATTTTGTAAAAATAAACGACATTCGAGGTTAGTCCCGTTATCACCTTTTAGGATTCATAATGCCCAACATCTAGCAATGAGGATGGCTAACTGTCATACAAAGCAAAAATAAAATGGATATCAGGGAATTAAAAGGAGTGTTACATTGGGAAATAACTGCATTTTAGGTACAATCGAGAACAGCACTTATAATGCAATAAGATGTATATACCCTTCTGGTCTGCTTTAAAAACATCCGTGCAAAGAAGCATTCAAACACACTTGATTGTGTTTACTATCATACACAACTATTAGGAAAACATGATCATGTGGACATCATGTTCCTTTCTGGTCAGGATTGTCAGTTAGACAGTTATATGTTAACGTATGAAAATTAAACATTGCATACTGTACATGTGACATGCATTATCCTCTCAATAACTCAAATTAATAACAATTAAGTTTGATAACTTCTTATGCACTAATGCAACATACAGTACAGTAAATCAAAGAAGGTGCAAGGAGAGGTTAAACGACCCAAGTTGAACCAAAAAGAAATGAAGAGAAAAAGTGTGCACTGTGCAGAGCCATGTCCCTCTCCCAGCCCATTCCCAGCTAAGTGGATGCAGTTGTGCCAGAGAGGCCAGACCGGCAAGGTATTAGCCCGCTTGGAAACAGCACCTAAGTCAGCCAGTGACTTCAGATTCAGAGCACAAGCCCAGCAGCAGTGTAGGGAGGTAGGCCAGCGGCAAAAAGGAGAGCGGAAAGGGGGGATTAGAGGGGGAGAGGGGGAGGACACGGAGGGGGAAGGAAAGAATACAGGGAGAGGTGAAGCGTGGGAGAGCAGAGGGCACCTCCATTACAGATCAAGCAGAGGTACCGAGTGGAGGCAAGGATTTGGGAATACCGCTACAGTTGTTTTCCAAACATTATTTACATGGATTTCATTGAATTTTGCATCCATAGATGGATAATGGCTAATCTGATCCATCAACTCAGAAATCCTCCTATTTTCCAGCAATGGCTTTGTTGATGGGAGAGATCTATTAGTCTATATCCATGTTATCAGAGGAGGATCAGGGTTTCTTTCCTAGCCTAGTGAGAAGCAGCTACCTCTGTCCGTCCCTGGCTGGTGCTGCCGCAAAGTGAGAAGGGGGGGCGTTGATAAATGGGGTCCTCTAGGACGCCTGCCTAAAATAAAAGCTCCTTCGCATCAGCCGACCTCCTTTCCTGTAGTATGGATGGGTGACCTACTTAGCAGGATAGGCTCTCCTATGGAGGATGAGCCCAGAGAAATCACGACATTCTCAACGACTTCAAAAGGCAATTAAGAGGGAAGCGCCGCGGCCGAACGCAGCAGACATGCATGTTTACTTTGTCCTCATGAAAGCCTGCCTTCTGCAGCTCCTGTGAGTACAACCCGGGCTGGGCTGCACCAGACCCCATCACTCTAACACACATGGGGTTGGAGTGGAGAGGGGGGGGGGGGTTCCTTGCATCACAAGTCTCTCCCTATCTGACTAGCCAAATATTCTCATTGACATTTAATTGCGGATCGTCTGGGTTCGCTTTAATCCAGAGGAATATCTCTGTAATATATTATTATATAGGCTACATGTCCTTAAACACTGCTGTAGTGATTCACAGCCTATCCATCCAGTAGCAGTAGAGTGAAGCGATGGATGGATCCTCGAGTCCAACCTCATTGTGAGCCTGGGAGTTATTTCTAGCGCTGCCGCGCGTAGGAGGGGCTGACATTCGAGCTTCCTATCGATTTGCACTCTTTTGTAATCACTTTTTTTGCTGGTTTCATCTCCATCTCCTCATTATTATCCTCTTGGAGGAGGAGGGGACCGTTCTACACCTTGGTGCCCAGTGATCAGTCTCTTCCGCCTGGCCACGTCCAGGAGGCCTCCCCCTCCCCTAAGCTCCGCTGGCCTGGCTCAGACGACACTAACAGGCAGCATGCCTGGTTACATCATAATGTCACCAGACTGGTTACAGTCCTGGAGTACACGGTTTCTCAACATCCCTGTTATGATGACTAAACCTTCAGATGACTAGCTGATATTTAGCTCATCATTCTACTCCATCCAGTATGTACCATGCAAAGCAAGGGGCTGAAGTGTTGTTCAGTGTACATCTTGAGGATTACATAGCAACAGTTAAGAAGACTTGATGGGCCTGAGACAATTATGATGGGAGGGTAAAAACTGGAGATCAAAGCAACAATGAGAAATAAAATGAAGCAGCAGGTGAATCAGTGATATTAATTGTTCATGTTGATCTTGTGAGGGAGAGAATGATCAATGTTCTCTGATGTGATCACACAACGCACAGTCAACATGAATATTGAAACAGTTATTTATTTAAGAGGGAATACTAAACACTGGGGTAGGAAGGGAAGGGAGTTAGTAAAAGTGTGAATGTCTTTCTACCTGAAAATGATGCTTTGCAAGTCGAAAGGGTATTCAATGATCCCTGTGGTGGGGATGCGAACCCTAAGCACATCTTGTTGGGTTGGTAGAAAGTTGGGTTCAGCAATACGATCCAGATCGCTTAGATAGCTAGAGACCGGGAGAGAGGCAGGAACGACAAAGAGAGACAGAGAGAGACAGAGACTGAAGCATGACAGCAGATACCCCCCTCCAAAGCAAGTGGACCAGTCAGTCCCAACCGGGAGAACCCATTCCTGAGAGCTCTGGGGGGTGACCCTTCACCTGCCACCTCTACCACCTACTAAACCCCACAATCATCTCCCAGAAAGTTAATACAGTCCCTGATGGCAGCTCTCAGAGACTCTGTTAAACCTAACATTTATTTTGCTTTTCCCATTACTTTCCCATAACACCTTAATTCCATTGGGTTCAAATTGAGGCAGTCCGCAAGTTCAATAAGATCTGGACTGAAGACCGTCTAATCTTTTTCAATTTTTGGTTATAGTTAGGAGTTGTGATTTGGCCTCAGACAGCCTCAGAGCTGCTGATAGTAAGGAGTCTCAGAGCACGCTACCAGGCCCAGGGCTGTGCGGCCAGCAGCAGTGGGGGGGCGATGGAGACAGTATAGTGGCGGAGGTAGAGGCAGCACTTCACACCAGTACCTGAAGATTACATTCTCCAGGTCAAAAGGGTACTCAATGATGCCAGTAGTGGGCACTCGAACCCGCAGCACATCCTGCTGAGTGGGCACGTACCCCGTGGTCGCTATTCGCTCTAAATCTTTAAGGTAACTGTGGAATGAAGGGGGACACATGACACGTGTAATGCCTGATGCTGCACAATCACCTGCACAGACACAAAAACAGGTATACACACACACCTGCTCTCTTTCTCATGGAAACAGAAATACACACAGACAATCACATACATTGCCTTCAGAAAGTATTCACACCCCTTGACTTTTTCCAAATTTTGTTGTGTTACAGCCTGAATTTTGAAATTGATTAAATTAAGATTTGTTGTCACTGGCCCACACACACACACACACACAATACCCTATAATGTCAAAGTGGAATTATGTTTTTCAAATTCTTTACAAATTAATTAAAAATGTAAAGCTGAAATGTCTTCAGTCAATAAGTATTCAGTCCCTTTCTTATGGCAAGCCTAACGTTCAGGAGTAGAAAGTTGCTTAACAAGTCACATAACAAGTTGCATGGACTCACTGTGTGGGCAATAATCGCGTTAACATGATTTTTTAATGACTACCTCATCTCTGTACCACACGCATACAATTATCTGTAAGGTCCCTCAGTTGAGCAGTAATTTCAAACAGAGATTCTGTGATAGGAGAATCTGAGAATTGATCAACATTGTAGTTACCCCACAATACTAACCTAAATGACAGCGTGAAAAGAAGGAAGCCTGTACAGAATAAAAATATTCCAAAACATGCATCCTGTTTGCAACAAGGCAGCAAAGTAATACTGCAACAAATGTGGCTACGCAATTCACTTTTTGTTCTGAATACAAAGTATTTAATCCATTTTGAATTCAGACTGACAAAATGTGGAATAGGTCATGGGGTATGATTACTTTCTGAAGGCACTGTACATTAATATATTATAGCTGTATCCTGTTACTCCTCACAAACTAACGGTAGGCAGATTCCGTTTGTAACAATTACCACTAACCCTCTAGTTTGGGGGGGCTAAATCACAATAGCTCAAGTCTTTAGGGCCAAGTAACAACATCCTAAAATGGTGCTTGTGGAGATTTGGGTTCATTTTTACAGTCCTGATAACCTTATCAGTCATAAAAATACAGAGTAGCCTAATCACTACATTGATTCTGAGTCATATTACAACAAAGTGTTTGTCCCTGGGAAGCTATAAGCATTAGTCATGGTGACAAAGTGCTTACTCTGCATTTTAGGGCTGAACAAATCCAGACCTATAATTCTACATAACAAACATGAAATTCAGGTCTCCGTAGGTTAGTTCAAATAGAACTAAGGTGGAGCAGGATGAGAAACGTTGCCGTCTGTTCATTCTCTTTCCATCGCTCCAGCTTTCTCTTTCATAGTTTTTCCCCCTCTTTTTTTTGGTCTCTTACTTTAAATCTCTTTCACTTTCTCTCACGAGTCAGAGAGAGAGATGATATTCACTATTATGGTAACTCATTCTCTTCAATCTCATTCTAACGCCTCTCCATCTCTAACCAGTGCAGCAGTTGTGTGTGTATGCCAGAAATTGACTTACTATTTGGTGGAGTCCGAGAGCTGATATTCACGTCTGCGGTCGTAGGCCTCCTGGATGCCAGGGTCTGTCCACAGCATCTTTATTGCACTGATGTAGGGCTGTTCGAAGGAACACACCTTCTCCACGTCCACTTCTCGCACCAGCAGCGCGTTGGACTGGGGAGAGGAACAGGACACCAGATAAGGGAAACAGTTGGAAAAGAGTGAAAGGTTGGACAGCATCACTCACATTCACTGTAACAGTGACCCAGGATTTTTACACATTTCTGCATTCTGATTAAAGTTCAAATCAGAACATGTTAGGTAATTTGTACAGGTTTGTCATATACTGACACATTATTCTCGATAGATTTAGGCCTAAAGACAGACTACTGTCTTGCCATCGATACATCCAGGCCTCTCCTCAGCAGTGACTTCGTGTCCGTACCTGGACAGAGCAGATTGGAGTAGCTGTAGCAGTCCATTATGTTTTATGGCATGGTTTACAGCCACTTTTATGGTCCATTTGAATATGGTTTGCATTTGATGATGCAGACATATAAGCTGTAGCTGGACAATTCGATGCGGAGATTGCCAGCCAACAGTTGCCAGTGAGCTGTCCTATGAGTGGATTAGAATGCAGACAATGCCAGAAGGGAATAAGTCTGTAGCTGATTTTGGAGTATTCCCCACCTAGGCTATACTATGACTAGGCTATAGAAGTCCTGATGGGTGCGCCTCCGGTTCACCAGTCCTAATTCAAATACATCCATTTAATTTGCTCCGGATATCTGCATGTAATGCCAAGTTACATGCATACATCAGGAGTCAACGACCCATTCAAGAACTACGGTAATGGCCGCTAACCATTTGCTGCTCCCATTAGTGATTCCTAATGTAACCTCTAGATATATATAATGAAATATATTGACCAACATGGTCTTTGCCCAATGAGTGGACCCCAATCCCCATCCCCTCTCCCCAAGTCAGACTCACCTTGTTCTGTTCATACTTGTACTGGATCTTGAGGGTCTCGGAGGCCCGGATCATGGACTGCATGGAGGTGAAGATGTTCTGGTACACCAGCTTGGTGAAGCCTCTCTTGTCCTCGTCGGTGTAGCCCGTCCCATGGATGATGCGCATCTGTTTGATGAATGTGCTCTTGCCACTTTCGCCAGTGCCTGAGGAGACAGACAGGACAATGGACAGATTAGAGCAGGGGCTCCCAAATGGATTCAGTTTGAGAATGCAGTCCACTATCCAAGACACTGTGGTACTCTTTCATCCACAGATACATATATTTTTTCCCCTCACAGCGCAGATACAGGCTCCCTACGTTTAAGATGGAATCCGTAGCCATGAAACTGCCATGTCCATTTGCAATATTACAACAAGGAAGTTACTTGAAATAACTAAAACGTTTTTTTGCCCTCGGACATCATTGCACATGTGGTAGGACAGCAAGGTACGTATATTCTTTTGGCCAAGATGATGGATGCTCCTTTTCTCCTTTCATAAACTTAACCAATAAGAAATACTCCTAGGCAAGTGGCAGTTTCAACTAATATGGATTCCTGCTTTAAGGGGCAATTCCACGGCAGGATAGGCCGAAAATATTTTTGGGTATCTCCGATTTTTACAATTATTTTAGTTATATTTTTTTAGGGGGTAGATCAGCTTTAATATTGCAGATAGATTGTAGCTTCCATCAATGTAATAGTCTGCATCACTTCCAATTCCCCAAATATTTTTTTGCAATAAATAAATACACACATACTATATATATATATATATATATATATACACTTTTTTTAAATATATGTATCTCACAAAAGTGAGTATACCACCCCTCACATTTTTGTAAATATTTGAGTATATCTTTTCATGTGACAACACTGAAGAAATGACACTTTGCTACAATGTAAAGTAGTGAGTGTACAGCTTGTATAGACAGTGTACATTTGCTGTCCCCTCAAAATAACTCACACTGTCATTAATGTCTAAACCGCTGGCAACAAAAGTGAGTACACCCCTAAGTGAAAATGTCCAAATTGGGCCCAATTAGCCATTTTCCCTCCCCGGTGTCATGTGACTCGTTAGTGTTACAAGGTCTCAGGTGTGAATGGGGAGCAGGTGTGTTAAATTTGATGTCATCGCTCTCACACTCCCTCATACTGGTCACTGGAAGTTCAACATGGCACCTCATGGCAAAGAACTCTCTGAGGATCTGAAAAAAAGAATTGTTGCTCTACATAAAGATGGCCTGGGCTATAAGAAGATTGCCAAGACCCTGAAACTGAGCTGCAGCACGGTGGCCAAGACCATACAGCGGTTTAACAGGTCAGGTTCCACTCAGAACAGGCCTCGCCATGCTCGACCAAAGAAGTTGAGTGCACGTGCTCAGCGTCATATCCAGAGGTTGTCTTTGGGAAATAGACGTATGAGTGCTGCCAGCATTGCTGCAGAGGTTGAAGGGGTGGGGGGTCAGCCTGTCAGTGCTCAGACCATACGCCGCACACTGCATCAAATTGGTCTGCATGGCTGTCGTCCCAGAAGGAAGCCTCTTCTAAAGATGATGCACAAGAAAGCCCGCAAACAGTTTGCTGAAGACAAGCAGACTAAGGACATGGATTACTGGAACCATGTCCTGTCGTCTGATGAGACCAAGATAAACTTATTTGGTTCAGATGGTGTCAAGCGTGTGTGGCGGCAACCAGGTGAGGAGTACAAAGACAAGTGTGTCTTGCCTACATTCAAGCATGGTGGTGGGAGTGTCATAGTCTGGGGCTGCATGAGTGCTGCCGGCACTGGGTAGCTACAGTTCATTGAGGGAACCATGAATGCCAACATGTACTGTGACATACTGAAGCAGAGCATGATCCCCTCCCTTCGGAGACTGGGCCGCAGGGCAGTATTCCAACATGATAACGACCCCAAACACACCTCCAAGACGACCACTGCCTTGCTAAAGAAGCTGAGGGTAAAGGTGATTGACTGACCAAGCATGTATCCAGACCTAAACCCTATTGAGCATCTGTGGGGCATCCTCAAACGGAAGGTGGAGGAGTGCAAGGTCTCTAACATCCACCAGCTCCGTGATGTCGTCATGGAGGAGTGGAAGAGGACTCCAGTGGCAACCTGTGAAGCTCTGGTGAACTCCATGCCCAAGAGGGTTAATGCAGTGCTGGAAAATGATGGTGGCCACACAAAATATTCACACTTTGGGCCCAATTTGGACATTTTCAATTAATTAGGGGTGTACTCACTTTTGTTGCCAGCGGTTTAGACATTAATGGCTGTGTGTTGTGTTATTTTGAGGGGAAAGCAAATATACACTGTTATACAAGCTGTACACTCACTACTTTACATTGTAGCAAAGTGTCATTTCTTCAGTGTTGTCACATGAAAAGATATACTCAAATATTTACAAAAATGTGAGGGGTGTACTCACTTTTGTGAGATACTGTATATACATACAGTGGGGAGAACAAGTATTTGATACACTGCCGATTTTGCAGGTTTTCCTACTTACAAAGCATGTAGAGGTCTGTAATTTTTTATCATAGGTACACTTCAACTGTGAGAGACGGAATCTAAAACAAAAATCCAGAAAATCACATTGTATGATTTCTAAGTAATTAATTTGCATTTTATTGCATGACATAAGTATTTGATACATCAGAAAAGCAGAACTTAATATTTGGTACAGAAACCTTTGTTTGCAATTACAGAGATCATACGTTTCCTGTAGGTCTTGACCAGGTTTGCACACACTGCAGCAGGGATTTTGGCCCACTCCTCCATACAGACCTTCTCCAGATCCTTCAGGTTTCAGGGCTGTCGCTGGGCAATACGGACTTTCAGCTCCCTCCAAAGATTTTCTATTGGGTTCAGGTCTGGAGACTGGCTAGGCCACTCCAGGACCTTGAGATGCTTCTTACGGAGCCACTCCTTAGTTGCCCTGGCTGTGTGTTTCGGGTCGTTGTCATGCTGGAAGACCCAGCCACGACCCATCTTCAATGCTCTTACTGAGGGAAGGAGGTTGTTGGCCAAGATCTCGCGATACATGGCCCCATCCATCCTCCCCTCAATACGGTGCAGTCGTCCTGTCCCCTTTGCAGAAAAGCATCCCCAAAGAATGATGTTTCCACCTCCATGCTTCACGGTTGGGATGGTGTTCTTGGGGTTGTACTCATCCTTCTTCTTCCTCCAAACACGGCGAGTGGAGTTTAGACCAAAAAGCTCTATTTTTGTCTCATCAGACCACATGACCTTCTCCCATTCCTCCTCTGGATCATCCAGATGGTCATTGGCAAACTTCAGACGGGCCTGGACATGCGCTGGCTTGAGCAGGGGGACCTTGCATGCGCTGCAGGATTTTAATCCATGACGGCGTAGTGTGTTACTAATGGTTTTCTTTGAGACGGTGGTCCCAGCTCTCTTCAGGTCATTGACCAGGTCCTGCCGTGTAGTTCTGGGCTGATCCCTCACCTTTCTCATGATCATTGATGCCCCACGAGGTGAGATCTTGCATGGAGCCCCAGACCGAGGGTGATTGACCATCATCTTGAACTTCTTCCATTTTCTAATAATTGCGCCAACAGTTGTTGCCTTCTCACCAAGCTGCTTGCCGATTGTCCTGTAGCCCATCCCAGCCTTGTGCAGGTCTACAATTTTATCCCTGATGTCCTTACACAGCTCTCTGGTCTTGGCCATTGTGGAGAGGTTGGAGTCTGTTTGATTGAGTGTGTGGACAGGTGTCTTTTATACAGGTAACGAGTTCAAACAGGTGCAGTTAATACAGGTAATGAGTGGAGAACAGGAGGGCTTCTTAAAGAAAAACTAACAGGTCTGTGAGACCAGGAATTCTTACTGGTTGGTAGGTGATCAAATACTTATGTCATGCAATAAAATGCAAATTAATTACTTAAAAATCATACAATGTGATTTTCTGGATTTTTGTTTTAGATTCCGTCTCTCACAGTTGAAGTGTACCTATGATAAAAATGACAGACCTCTACATGCTTTGTAAGTAGGAAAACCTGCAAAATCGGCAGTGTATCAAATACTTGTTCTCCCCACTGTATATATATATATATATATATATATATATATATCTTCCTTTATTACTTTCTAACCCTACCACCCCTTCCCTAATTGGAGAAACTAGTGAACAACAACGCTTAGGCCTCTACTTCAAGCTTATACATACTATATACACATTTTATGGACAAGGTCTATTTTACAATTGTTCTATTTTGTTCGTTTTACTCCTGTCCTTCCTCTACCATCGATTACTGATGTCCATCCGGTTAGATTTCTATTTACCATATCTTTCAAACTGTGCTCTTTCACAAAAGTTATTAACCTATATACGTTTTACGGACACAGTACGTTTTACATTAGTTATCTTGTTGTTATTAGTCCCAACTTCAGCTCCATTCAACCCCTCCCATCTCTCTCTTAACACCATCCATATTGGATTTCTATTTGACATATATTTTTCAACTGTGCTGTGATGAATCACAAAAGTTCTGAACCTTTCTATTCTCATTGTTTCTACAGATTGTAAATTGAGAATAAACATTTTTGCTAAAAGTATTACTATATTATTGATCAATTGACTATGACTTTTCGGATCACCCAGTAGTGCCATCTGCAGGGTTAGCTCCAGGTAAATATTACAATTATTCAGCCATTCCTGGACCTGTGACCAAAAACAAGCTACATATGGACAGTACCAAACCAGATGATCTAATGATTCTGTCTATTCGCAGCAAAATCTGCAGAGCTGGGAAGGTTGTATCCCCCATATAAATAACATTCTATTGGTTGCAATAATTTTGTATAATAATCTAAATTGAACAATTCTAAGTTTTGAATCCAGCGTCGTTTTGCGTATCTCAGATTGTAGCAAAATTAGCAGAGATACCTGTAGAGTTTATTGTTCCAAACAATACAGTATGTCTTAAAATGAACAAAACCAAAAAGGCTACATTTGAGATCATATTTTTAATGTTGAATAAATTAATTAGATATATTTGTATTAAAATTGTAACCATATATAAACATTATAAAGAGTATGATGACAACAATATATTGTCTGTATCATGTACAGGTCACAGATCATAGGGTCTTTCAGGAGGCATGTATAGGTCTAAAAAGTGGCCACTTTCATAATTTCCCCAAGAAAATATGTGATACAAATGTAAAAAGCATGTCAAACATCCTTCATCCCAATTCTGAAGTTATGTGAGAATTGCCAAAACAATCTATTTTTCGGGCTAGCCGGTCTACATATTTCTGGATATATTGTATGAGTATATTTGTAATTGTTTTTACTATGTGCTGCAAAATGAATGGCCCCCTGGGGATAATAAAGACTTTACATAGACACACAGACGATTAGTGGGCATACTAACACAGGCACACACTCACAGGTGAAACTTCTGCCCTGGCAACCCAGCTTCCTTTGTACCAATAGACCTAAAGCTTAGCGTATAATGCTACAAGTGTAAAACACTACAGGTGCATAATGCTACAAGCGCACTATGTTACAAGTGTGCAGTGCTGCAAGTGGATGCAACCACCCCATGCAGAGGGGTAATTTGTGCAGGGAAACACTACCAGTAGCCTAACTCATGCATTGCCACAAGCTATCCATTATGACTCTTAATACCTGGCACCATGCAACATCTTTTCCGATGAAGAAAGAAATAGGGACTCCCCTTGGTGCATACACATACTACTACTAGAACAGACCTGAGACTGACTGAATCAGGCATCAATCAGGCACCATCACCCTGCAAAAATTTCCCACGGGGGGCCAGTATGAAAAAAATTAATAAAAATTTTAAAAAATTATGCACTCACTAACTGTAAGTCGCTCTGGATAAGAGCGTCTGCTAAATGACTAAAATGTAAAATGTAATCATAGAATAGCAGAGCTCATCATGGAGAGTGAAGGAAGTTGTGCCAGACTGTCCCAGTGGAGGTCCCAAACATTTTGCATCTTTATATAGACATTTCTAACGGTTGTGTACAACAACGGTAAGTTTGAGAATGTCGACTCTAAACCACATAAAATAGCAAGCGTAGAGCACTATACCGCCCCCCACCTCCCCACTTCCAAGTACCCTTTGCTGCGGCACATGGAACGGGCAGGGTTGGCTGTAGGCGGGGTTGAGGCGCAGTCGCATCCACCACCTTCAACACAACGTAGCATGCGTGGTGATACGTAGCACGTACATGTAACAGATTAACTAGCTTGCCGCTAGCTAGTTAGCTGGATAACATAGGTTTACAGAGTCACGTCTAACAATACAGATCTTTGTTTTGTAACCTATTTTCGGGTTTATCATGTCTGTTGACTATAAATACTTTTATATGCATGCTTATGGTCATATAGCAATTCACTTTTCACAAGTCAAAAAATTGTGTTTACTCAGTTGATATGGTCACTGGCAGCTGTCGTCAAGGGATGTAGCTCAGTTGATAGAGCATGGTGTTTGCAACGCCAGGGTTGTGGGTTCGATTCCCACAGGGGGCCAGTATAAAATAAATAAAAATATGTAAGTCGCTCTGGATAAGAGCGTCTGCTAAATGACTAAAATGTAAATGTAAATGTAAATGTCAAAAGTGGAATTTGCTGTTCACCTTCAAAATAAAAGTCCCTCACTGAAAGTGATGCAAACAGATACACAAAGGAATCATGCCATATTTGGACTAGATAATGCTAAACAAGGTTGGAATGTTGTTACATAATTTAGAATAAAATACAGTAATTAATTAGTTTGACAAACTGTTGAAATCCCACTGTGGATGTACAGTGGCTTGCGAAGGTATTCACCCCCCTTGGCATTTTTCCTATTTTGTTGCCTTACAACCTGGAATCAAAATTGATTTTTTGGGGGGGTTGCCTACTACTTTGAAGATGCAAAATATTTTTAATATATTACCTCGGTCCCAGTCTCAAATCTCTGGAAGACAAACAGGTTTCCCTCAAGAATTTCCCTGTATTTAGCGCCATCCATCATTCCTTCAATTCTGACCAGTTTCCCAGTCCCTGCCGATGAAAAACATCCCAACAGCATGATGCTGCCACCACCATGCTTCACTGTGGGGATGGTGTTCTCGGGGTGATGAGAGGTGTTGGGTTTGCGCCAGACATAGCGTTTTCCTTGATGGCCAAAAAGCTCAATTTTAGTCACATCTGACCAGAGTACCTTCTTCCATATGTTTGGGGAGTCTCCCACATGCTTGAGGAGTCTCCCACATATGTTTGCTTATTTTTTTCTTTAAGCAATGGTTTTTTTTCTGGCCACTCTTCCCTAAAGCCCAGCTCTGTGGAGTGTACGGCTTAAAGTGGTCCTATGGACAGATACTCCAATCTACGCTGTGGAGCTTTGCAGCTCCTTCAGGGTTATATTTGGTATTTTTGTTGCCTCTGATTAATGCCCTCCTTGCCTGGTCCGTGAGTTTGTGGGCAGCCCTCTCTTGGCAGGTTTGTTGTGGTGCCATATTCTTTCAATTTTTTAACAATGGATTTAATGGTGCTCCGTGGGATGTTCAAAGTTTCAGATATTATTTTATAACCCAACCCTGATCTGTACTTCTCCACAACTTTGTCCCTGACCTGTTTGGAGAGCTCCTTGGTCTTCATGGTGCCGCTTGCTTGGTGGTGCCCCTTGCTTAGTGGTGTTGCAGACTCTGGGGCCTTTCAGAACAGGTGAATATACAGTGGGGGAAAAAAGTATTTAGTCAGCCACCAATTGTGCATGTTCTCCCACTTAAAAAGATGAGAGAGGCCTGTAATTTTCATCATAGGTACACGTCAACTATGACAGACAAAATGAGATTTTTCCAGAAAATCACATTGTAGGATTTTTAATGAATTTATTTGCAAATTATGGTGGAAAATAAGTATTTTGTCAATAACAAAAGTTTCTCAATACTTTGTTATATACCCTTTGTTGGCAATGACACAGGTCAAACGTTTTCTGTAAGTCTTCACAAGGTTTTCACACACTGTTGCTGGTATTTTGGCCCATTCCTCCATGCAGATCTCCTCTAGAGCAGTGATGTTTTGGGGCTGTCGCTGGGCAACACGGACTTTCAACTCCCTCCAAAGATTTTCTATGGGGTTGAGATCTGGAGACTGGCTAGGCCACTCCAGGACCTTGAAATGCTTCTTACAAAGCCACTCCTTCGTTGCCCGGGCGGTGTGTTTGGGATCATTGTCATGCTGAAAAGACCCAGCCACGTTTCATCTTCAATGCCCTTGCTGATGGAAGGAGGTTTTCACTCAAAATCTCACGATACATGGCCCCATTCATTCTTTCCTTTACACGGATCAGTCGTCCTGGTCCCTTTGCAGAAAAACAGCCCCAAAGCATGATGTTTCCACCTCCATGCTTCACAGTAGGTATGGTGTTCTTTGGATGCAACTCAGCATTCTTTGTCCTCCAAACACGACGAGTTGAGTTTTTACCAAAAAGTTATATTTTGGTTTCATCTGACCATATGACATTCTCCCAATCCTCTTCTGGATCATCCAAATGCACTCTAGCAAACTTCAGACGGGCCTGGACATGTACTGGCTTAAGCAGGGGGACACATCTGGCACTGCAGGATTTGAGTCCCTGGCAGCGTAGTGTGTTACTGATGGTAGGCTTTGTTACTTTGGTCCCAGCTCTCTGCAGGTCATTCACTAGGTCCCCCCGTTTGGTTCTGGGATTTTTGCTCACCGTTCTTGTGATCATTTTGACCCCACGGGGTGAGATCTTGCGTGGAGCCCCAGATCGAGGGAGATTATCAGTGGTCTTGTATGTCTTCCATTTCCTAATAATTGCTCCCACAGTTGATTTCTTCAAACCAAGCTGCTACCTATTGCAGATTCAGTCTTCCCAGCCTGGTGCAGGTCTACAATTTTGTTTCTGGTGTCCTTTGACAGCTCTTTGGTCTTGGCCATAGTGGAGTTTGGAGTGTGACTGTTTGAGGTTGTGGACAGGTGTCTTTTATACTGATAACAAGTTCAAACAGGTGCCATTAATACAGGTAACGAGTGGAGGACAGAGGAGCCTCTTAAAGAAGAAGTTACAGGTCTGTGAGAGCCAGAAATCTTGCTTGTTTGTAGGTGACCAAATACTTATTTTCCACCATCATTTGCAAATAAATTCATTAAAAATCCTACAATGTGATTTTCTAGATTTTTTTTTCTCATTTTGTCTGTCATAGTTGACGTGTACCTATGATGAAAATTACAGGCCTCTCATCTTTTTAAGTGGGAGAACTTGCACAATTGGTGGCTGACTAAATACTTTTTTCCCCACTGTATACTGAGATCATGTGACAGATCATATGACACAAAGTCCACCTGTGTGCAATCTAACTAATTATGTGACTTCTGAAGGTAATTGGTTGCACCAGATCTTATTTAGGGCTTCATAGCAAAAGGGGTGAATACATATGCACGCACCACTTTTCTGTTATATGCAAGTACTTTTTTCCATTTCACTTCCCCAATTTGGTCCATTACATGAAATCCAAATAAAAATCAATTTAAATTACAGGTTGTAATGCAACAAAATAAGAAAAATGCCAAGGGGGATGAATAATTTTGCAAGGCACTGTAATAGACTGCTTAATTGCATTGGGGGCATACTCATTTGCACTGTACAGCCTTACCATGGCTTGTGCATCGATGAAACGGGTTATCGGCCTACTCAGTGACACCCACATAAAACCATTCTCAAGAGTTTACACAAATATTAGCATCTTAGCTCTTATTGCAGGACTTTTGACTGTGGAAAATAACCTTCCCAGTCAGTCTATTGTCCATATTGGATATTAATATTGCACTCTACCGCCTTACCTGTGGATTGTGCAGCCATGAAATGGGGTATCAGCCTACTCAGTGACACCCACAAAACACAACTATGTAGAGTTTACACAAATATTACACTAAACAAAAATAAAGCAACATGCAATAATTTCAAAGATTTTACTGAGTTACAGTTCATATAAGGAAATCAGTAAATTGAAATAAATTCATTATGGATTTCACGAGTGGGAATACAGATCTGCATCTGTTGGTCACAGATGTCTTTTGCAAAGAAAGGTAGGGGCGTGGATCAGAAAACCAGTCAGTATCTACCGTCGCATAGAATTGATCAGGCTGTTGATTGTGGCCTGTGGAATGTTATTCCACTCCTCTTCAACGGCTGTGCGAAGTTGCTAGATATTGGTCGGAACTGGAACACGCTGTCGTACACGTCGATCCAGAGCATCCCAAACATACTCAATGGGTGACATGTCTGGTGAGTATGCAGGCCATGAAAGAACTGGGACATTTTCAGCTTCCAGGAATTGTGTACAGATCCTTACGACATGGGGCCGTGCATTATCATGCTAAAACATGGAGGTGATGGCGACGATGAATGGCACGACAATGGGCCTCAGGATCTCATCACGATATCTCTTTTAAATTACAGGTTGTATCTCTGTGCATTCAAATTGCCATAGATAAAATGCCATTGTGTTCCTTGTCCGTAGCTTATGCCTGCCCATACCATAACCCCACCGCTACCATGGGGCACTCTGTTCACAACGTTGACATCAGCAAACCACTCGCCCACACGACATCATACACGCTGTCTGCCATCTGCCCGGTACAGTTGAAACCCGGATTCCTCCACGAAGAGTACACTTCTCCAGCGTACCAGTGGCCATCGAAGGTGAGCATTTGCCCACTGAAGTCGGTTACAACGCCGAACTGCAGTCAGGTCAAGACACTGGTGAGGATGACTAGCACGCAGAGGAGCTTCCTTGAGACGGTTTGTGCAGAAATTCTTCGGTTGTGCATACTCAGTTTCATCAGCTGTCCGGGTGGCTGGTCTCAGATGATCCCGCAGGTGAAGAAGCCAGATGTGGAGCTCCTGGGCTGGTGTATCAGCCTTACACGTGGTCTGCTGTTGTGAGGCCGGTTGGGCGTACTGCCAAATTCTCTAAAATTACTTTTCATTCAATTATCTGGCAACAGCTCTGGTGGACAGTCAGCAAGCCAATTGCAAGCTCCCTCAACTTGAGACATCTGTGGTGTTGTATTGTGTGCACATATTAGAGTGGTCTTTTATTGTCCGCAATACAAGATGCACCTGTGTAGTGACCATGCTGTTTAAATCAGCTTCTTGATTGTCAA